ACTGTTAGTCACCGCTATGATCTCTGGCCAGCGAGGATGGCTTGCTGCAATGCCTTCATGATTGTCAACGCTGATGCCCTTGTAAAGACTCTCACGCGTGTTCATATCCATATCAGAACTGACAACTTTGAGTTGGCTACTAATCCAATGCACATTGATCATCCCGGATGTGTCGACAAGGTCACAACCTGGAGACGCTGTGTCGACGCCTTTCACATAGGTAACAGAACTGCGACGATACAGGTCATTTGCTCTACCTTTTGCAAGTTGGTGTCCTTGGCGAAGCTGACCATCTTCTTTGCTTTGCCGGATTTTCGCCTTTTAGTCGTGTTATGCGATATGTTCAATGCATTTGAAGATGCTCGTGGATTTATCGTGGCCCTAGGAGGCTGCAAAGAAGCAGGATATTGAACCAGGGTCCGGACGATATGGCGTGAGCGGTAGAAAGCGTTGCGCGCGCAGCATCAGCCTCCAAAGGGTGCTCATTTTCCCAACGAGCCTCATGTTCGGCCTCCTCTTGGAGTTCAGCTAGATAGTCTTCAATGTTAAGTCGTATAGCATGCCAGGTGTCCCTAAACACAAGGTAGTCGCCATGTGTTACATGATAATGAGCCCAAGGTCCCCCTATGCTGTCCCATGCTTTGGCCAGCTGATGAAGTATGTTGAGATATACAATGATATCGCATACTGGACAGTACGCTGGCCGAAACCTCTCCGGTAGTTCAGGATGTAGCTGATGCCCACATGTAGTCGCTACATGTTTGTTCGAGAGATTCAAGCTGGTAGGGAACTTGACGGCATCGTTTTTTCTGCAGAGCTTCGCAAACTCCCCTCACTACAGTACAAAACCGGTTTACAGTAGCCATATTTATCTAAAGTAGACTAAGAAGTGGTTTAGGTAGAAGAAGTAAACCTAAATAGGGTTTACTATACCATGTATTCCACTTTTACTTCTACTTCTATTAATCTACTAGTTTCCTACTAACTATCTAAGTATTTTACCCCTCCTTTCTTTAATCTTTTTCACCACCTCCACCACCTCTACCACCTCTACCACCTCTACCACCTCTACCACCTCTACCACCTCTACCACCTCTACCACCTCTACCACCACCTCCACCACCTCTATTATCACTACCTCCACCACCTCTACTACCTCCACCACCTCTACTACCTCTACCACCACCTCTATCACTACCACCACCTCTACCACTACCTCTACCACCACCTCTATCACCACCACCTCTATTATCACCACCTCCTATTAGTAAAAATATCATGACTTATTATTATGTTATATGTGCGTATAGCGTAAAGCTAATCTTTTCTACCCCTTTTTGTCTTAGTTTAGTATTATAGCGTATAATAGAAATAAAGCTACTTTTTATACTTAATTTAAACCCCTACTATAAAAGTAAACTACTACTTTAATAAAAGTAAACTACTACTTTAAACCTATTTATAGGTATACATAAGGTTAGTTTACACCTATATAGTAAACCCCTAGCGTACTATTCCACAGTAAACAATTTTTTACCGTAGTGCCTATGGAGCATATTAATCTAGTTGAACGAGCTCCCTGCCAATGACGATTTTGCGCAGCTAGGTTGTGGTTCCTGAAGATGCTTATAGGTAGTGGATACACAGAGGCCATGGTTCATTGTTTAGAATGAGGTTGATGGTGGTTTTAAGACAGTGGGTTGGTAATAGAGGGTTTAAATCACCAAATCTCACACTTTGCTTGAGTTTAATGAGCACGCTCGCTCAAGTTGTGAGTGCACTAATCCTAGTCAATGGGACTCTTTCGCTGTGAAGTGATCCAAGTACGGAATTCTTTCACTGTGTGGGGAATACAGAGTACGGAACGGTAAAGAAGAAAGGCGAAAACGTATGTCATGTGAATGTAAGCCTTAAAATACCAGAAGATACGGTTAGTAGCGTGAAGTAGTGGAAAGGTAATATATTGCAATGCTACGACGTATTCTTAGTTCTTCAAATGGGTTACCATCCTTTGGAGTACAAAGCCCTCGGGGTATGAATGATGATTCTTTGACCTCACGTACCGTAGCTCGTACGGTAAAAGCGGACTAGCCAATGCCGACTACGGTTTTCCAGCGGAATACTCGGTCTCAGCTGGATCACGTACCTGAGGGATGCCACCCGATAATCTTGTTATTTCTATATCCATAGTGCTTACCTTTGTATCAGCCATGGTGCTTACCCTGATGAGGTGGTGACTGCCTACCACCATTGGCGACTCCCCTATCCCGGGTTGTCTGGGAGACACCTATTTGGGACTAGTGGGGATATCTATATCTAGCCACCTTAGCTTCTTGTCTATAGATTCTTTAATTAATACTTTTATTATATTAGGTTATAAGCCTAGCTTATCCGCTGGCATACTTAGCTTTATTTACTAGTACCTACTTCTGTTATATTATAAGCTAAACATTCACCGCTATTATAGCTTTGTACCTAAACCTATTTAGCTTATTACTAACCTACTCTAGCTCTTCTAGAATAGCTTCCCTAGAAGTTACAGCTACACTATATCTAGAGCTCCCCTAGACTACTCCTCTCCTAGTTTCTGCACTATTATTACCCACTATAGCATCCATAAAACCCGCCTTTAACTTTTACCTAGATCCTTCCTTATTACCTAAATTAGGTTCCCGCAGTAAGAACTACCTAGAATAGTAGTCTGTATAGACTATTGCGTTCTAATATATAGGCATCTAGCCTATCCTCTTAGGGAAGAAGCTATGCCTAATTTTAAACCTTAATATAGATAAATAGGATAAGGGTAATAATAAAGCTCTTATTATACTTCTTTTATTAGTGTATAACAACCTTACTATAAGCGTAGCCTCTTATAATACTTCCCTAGAAGCCTAGAAGTATCTTGTAAACAGGTTTAATAGGGATATAGGTAATACCTTAATCTTACTATTTTAGTTACTAATAAACCTTTGCTACTATAATAGAGATAACCTAAGAATCTACCTTAATAAATTTTATTAGAGATAGACGCGTATATCTAAACACTATGTAATATCTACATAACCTATAGCTATAGTAATACGTGCTATATTTAACTCTAACTAGGTTAAGGGTTCCTTCTTCCTAGCTATATTACCTAAAACTATAGATAATATTATTAATAATCTATCTACTAGGAATATTACTACCTTCTAAGATATTAAACCTAAGATCCTTAATATCTTAGAAAAGCACTCCTTAGATATTATAGATTCATCTACTACTTATATAGCAAGATAGATAGCTTCTAGAAAACTTATATCTACTAAACTACTAAATAGTATTCTAGAATACATATAGTATTATAAGCACGACCTACTATTTATTAGCTACCTCTACCCTACCTGCTATACTCTTAAAAAGCATAAGGAGAGTTAAGTAAAGGGGGACGCACCTATAAATTCTAAGAAGCAGAAGGCAAATAATGCCGCTGCTATTAAACCCCTTAGCAAAGCTAAAGAATCTAATAGCTCTATTATAGTTATTAGTTACTCTACCTATACCTATATAGACCTAACAGCTTTACTACTACTATTACGCCTACTACTAAATTTAAATAGTAAACGCTTAAGACTAGTAAGTGCATACGCTGCTATACGCTAACCTATAGTAGTTAACCTACTATAATAGCTCTTTAATACTAGTGCCTCTAAGTATATATCTAGCTGCGCTAATAACTTTGTATCCTTAACTAAGAAGTTAGGCACTATTACTATAGCTAGTGGTATTAAGCTCCCTATTTAAGGAAGTAGCACTGTTTAACTTTACTACATTTTACTAGATAGCTTAACTACTATTATAGAACTAATAGACACTATCTATAGCGCTAAACTATATAGTACCTAATTATTCTTATAGTCTTATATCTAATATAAAGGATTTAAGCTCTTTAGTAAATATAATAACCTATTCCTCTTTAGAAATAGCTGCTATATATTATAGGCATAGTATATTAATAGTATTATATAAATCTAAACTAAACACCTGTCCTTACCTTCTGCATTTACGCTCACAAGCTTGTACCTACTAATTAACTAAACAATAATAGCTTCTTAGCAAGCATTAACCCTCCTTACAATGGCAAAGGCAATAGTAGTAGCGATAAAGGCAAAGGATACATATAATAGTTTTAAGACATACTAATAATTTTATAAAGTAATAGGACACTTATTTGTGCTAAACCTAACACGCATTTATATAGATAGGTATTTAGTACTAGCAAAACTAGATAATTTTAAATGCACTATATATTAATAATTAAAATCTGTGCACTATATCCTAATATTAGGATTACTAAGGCATACCTAACCTCTTAAACTTATTTACTTAGACCTCTCTAGAAAGATACCTGTAAGAAGCATTAGCACTGCCTAGTACTACATCTTATTTGTTAATAATACTACACAGTATTTATAGATTTAGTTTCTTAAACTTAAGGCTAATATACTATAGGCTATTAAGGATTTTATCGCCTATGCTAATACCTAATTTAAAACTAAGAGAGCTCCTATAGGCCTAAATATCCTCACGTATTCTATTATTAAGATATTTAAATCTAATAATAGCAGAGAATATATTAGCTATAATCTCTAAAAGTTCTTTATAGCAAATAGCATTACTTATAAACTAGTACTACTATACTATTATAAGATAAATAGTATACTAGAATAGTTTAACTAAACCCTATTTTAGATTACATAATATATAATCTCTTCTAATAATATACTTTTCCTCTAGGTAGAAGCTATAAAGTTAGCAAACTTCCTTAAAAACATAGCGCTGTATTCTACTAACCCTCTGCGTTGCACACTATATAAATAGCTCTTTAGGAAGAAGCTATCTATTTAATAACTCTAGCCCTTTAGTATACTAGGACACGTTTATATTCCTATAGAAGCTAGAAAGGCAGGTACTAAACTCCTACACCGCTTAGAATAAGGTATATTTGTTAGCTATAGCTATAGTACCTAGACAAGTTGTCTCTATATACTATAATAACATGTTATTATTTAATCCTAAGATGTTATATTTACTACACCTGTTCTATAAATATTTAGGCCTATTTAGGACTATAGAATAGACCCTACACTATAATATCCTATAAATAACTAAAATATTAACGCATAGAGACCTAGGGAATTAGTTACTACTCTCCTACCTATTAAAGTTTATAATAATGCTAAGCTAGGGGATATTAGTAACCTTCCCTCTGCCCTACAAACTCCTACCCTTAAGAGTAGAGCTACAAGTCTACTGTAGAATTTTCTTAGTAGTCCTAACTACCTCTCTAACTATCTACTAACTACAATAGTATAGGATGCGCTATCTCTAGGATCCCTAAGCTTGCGAACTTCTAACCTATTATATAAGAGGTTGTAAACCTCTAAATTATCCACACCCTTATAAGGAGCTATTACCCGTATTAGGTAATAGATAAGAATACCTAAGTAATACTAAGGTATATATATATTAGCACGACCCTTCTTAACTATATATAAGGAGGATGCGCTTATATATACCTATCTATTCTTAATAACCTTCTCTACTATAGTAATATTAATAGATACTCTATAGATATATATAGAAGCTACTAGTAATACCTATACTTCCTTATAGCGCCCTACTATAAAGAAGGAGATTGCTAATTATGCTAATAATAGAACCTAGAAAGTGGTACCCTAATATAAGATACCTTTAGGGACAAAGCTTATAGGTACCTGCTAGGTTTTTAACACTAAGCAAGATAAATCTAGTAATATAGTTAAGAGGAAAGCACAGCTTATTATATAGGGATTTTCTTAACGCTATAGTTTTAACTATAATAATATATACTCCCTAGTTATTAGGTATAATAGTCTGCGTATACTTCTAGTCCTTGCTACTATAAATAGATAGTATATGCGACAAGTGGATTTTAACGCTATATACCTAAATAGACACCTTAAGCATAAAATATACTACTAACTACTACTAGGAATAGCCTATAATAGCTCTATATTTCTGCTGCTTAAGACACTCTATAGACTTAAACAATTAGGGTGCGAATAGTATACTATCCTATTAGACTAGCTAAAGACCTAGTATTTTATCTAAGCAGATTTTAACCCCTGTGTCTTTATATTAAAGTATCTAGTTCTTAGAATCTATATAGATAATATCCTAATAGTAGGTATATAATATTAGATTACTTATATGCTTAAACTTATAAAGACTTGCTTTTAATTTTAAGATCTAGGACGTCCTAGAATACTCCTTAGTCTAGAAATTAAGCACCTTAACTACTATATTAAACTCTACTAACGCACCTACATTGCTGTAGTACTTTAATAATATAGAATAATAGACTATAATAGATAGCAAACACCTATTAACCCTAGTTTATTCCTACCTTAGACCCCTGCTAAAGTACCTATTAACCTTAAATAATAGAAGAAATTCTAATCTATTATTAGCTTACTTAACTTTATAGTAGTAGTAAGTAGACCTAATCTAGTATACACTATTAGACTTCTTAGTTTATATAATACTAACCTATTAGATAACTACCTTAAGTTAGTATTTTAAGTACTCTAGTATATCCGCGCTATATCTATATATTAGTTAATAATTAGAATATTACCTAGTAGGCAACGTCCTGTAGTTATAATGTATTTAGATGCCTTATACGTATTAGACCTAGATAATTTAAAGTTATTCTCTAGGTATATCCTTAAGATTAATAGCTTAATCATCTCCTAGTCTTCTAAGAGGTAGAGCTGCGTGGCATAAAGTATATATAAAGCTAAATATATAGCTTCCTTATATACTACCTCCTATTTAGTTTAGGCTTGCCACGCTATTATAGAATTAATACCTATAAGGCTAATATATTAACTCCTTATAGATAATAAACCTGCTATCTTACTTATTTAAGACTAAAAGCTTAATTTATAGTTAAAACATATTCACGTACATTACTACTTTGTCTAGGAACAATTTTTAGCTAGCGATTATAGTATCTAACATGTTATATTAGTAGAGAACCTAGCTAATATATACATAAAAGCTCTGCCACGCCTAATATTAGAGAAATTTAATTAGCTTATCTTAGAGCTTACTGTCTAATATAGACGTTTTCTTTGTATATTTATAATTACTATAGATTTAGGGGACTGTTATTTCTATATCTATAGTGCTTACCTTTGTATCAGCCATGGTGCTTACCCTGATAAGGTGGTGACTGCCTACCACCATTGGCGACTCCCCTATCCCGGGTTGTCTGGGAGACACCCATTTGGGACTAGTGGGGATATCTATATCTAGCCACCTTGGCTTCTCGTCCATAGATTCTTCAATCAATACTTTCATCACATCAAATCTAGGTCAATTGACATGAATATTAGAAAGTTATAATTTTCCGACTTACGAGAACCATAACCCTATCTGCTTTAACTATGCGGACTTTGTAAAGCAAGGTGATGATCTCGTCGCAGCCAATCTTAGGCGCCTCCTTAGCTACTTGCGCCTTGCACAGAAAACAGAATACCGGACCTGAACAGCTGTACACAGTGGCCAACTGTCGCCTGGTTTCGCGTATCCTTCGCCATTTGTGAAGCCTCTCTGGAAGCCTCGGCTTTATCTTTCCCGGTAGCAATGAAAATCTCGCGTATATGGAGGTGCTCCAGAGCGTGTAGGCAATTTTCGTGCCAGCTAGTGTTCTCACCATCATCATCTCCTGGACAACTATACCTACCTGGAGCCTAAAGTGCTGAACGACGCGCGAAACAACGTTTATTCCGCAAGCTTGGTTCGAAGTTGGTGTCTGGAGCGAATGAAACCAATTTTTCAGTTCCCAATCCATGGGGCATCTTCATTTTCAGATCTGCATGGAGCGCGGCCATTGATGTAATGTTAAGGGCAAATTGAAATAGATGTAATGGCTGATGATCAAAATTGTGCAGAAAGAACAGTGGGTGGCGGTCTGTCCCATTTTAAGTGCAATGTCCCATACAGTGTCATAAACATAGTTTACTGTGAACACCCCAAACGCTTGCAGCCGTCTATAGAACGGGATATGTGCGATTCGTATAAATTCTCAATGCAGTGGACTACAATTGGTGAGGTGCCGCAGTGATGTAGTGAACGTAAAAATGGACAGTCCGTTTCCTTAAACGGGCGGGATGCTACCGCTACCGTCCCTTACCTAGGTAGCTTACCTAGGGAATCTCCAATGCGATGATGTCCCGACTCTTTCCATCTGTCTACCATATCTGATATTACGCTGTCTGCTGTTACATACCTACGTTGGATAGCACGCTATGGCTATGTATACCATCCATACAACCTCTATTACGTCCCTGAATTGTTGTAGCGTCTGCTTCAATAGCCCACTGGGATCTAACATGGCTCGTACCTCCGATTGAGCTCGTTGCTTTATGCACGCTCCATTGATCAAAATATTTGCTGCGAAGCTTATAAGCGGCGGATGTGTGCCGCGTTCCTCGTGGGAGGAGTACTTCAAGCATGATAGGGTTGGGCATGCTGTGTCATGAATGCCTGGGTCACGTGTGGCTCATGGGCTTAGCCTCTTGGCGGTGCTTGCCTATAGATAGCTCCTATCCTCCTAGACTAGGACAATATAATCACATTACACACTACATTTAGGCCCTCCTTATTATTAGATATTATATCTAGTAGCTAAAGCTATTTAATCTATATTGCGCTAGTTAAACTAGCGGTTGTATTACGCGTTTTGCACGAGAAAACTCCTAGTGCTATTATAGTCTAGCTAGCGTCTACCTATTTAAGAGGCCTAATACTCTCCTATATTATTAAAATATACTAGTCTCTAGATATTAATAACCTTACGCTACATAGCTATTCCACGCTAGAAGTAACTACGTTACCTCTCCTTTATCTAATAACACCTATATAGTATTAAACTAGACTAAACCTAGTAATATTTGTCCTATATACTACTAAAATAAAAGCTAGTTAGTAACTAAGAACTTAAAAGCTTAGGTATTAACCCTAGTAACCTACTACTACTAGAGGAACTAGAGCATAATACTTGCTTGCCTAATACTTGCTTGCCTAATATTGCCTCCTCTAACACAAGCTTAACTATACTAGAGATAGATTACCCTATAGTATAGTTATCCTAATAAGGAAAGGATAAGTTAAATCTAGGAGCAAAAGTAAGCGTAATAGCAGTACCTTCTAGTAGGGGTAACTATAATAAATAAGTCACGACTAGAGTAAAAAATAGGGCACTAGCTAGTTAGGACAAGCTACAGAATCTAGCAAGCGCTCTAATATAGGGGGTAGGGGGCAACAAAGTTAAAGGAAAAGCCGCCGCCTATCTAGATCTACTAGAACTAGAAATAGGAACAGAGCTAGAGAAGCTAGGCCTAGCCTACCTACACTTCTTGTTATTCTTAACTAAGCCTTACACCTCTTAACTCCCCCCTTATCTTCCTCTCTTGCAGTAATAGTAAATAGCACCCCTATCTTTAGTAACTATAGTAGGACTTATAATAATCCTAGAAGAACTATTAACTAATAAGGAGCCTAAGTTGCTATTAATAGACGTGGAACCTACGTTTGTTTTTAACCTACCTCTGCTAAGCCTACTAGCTCTAGTGTTATTGTTGTCTTTAGATTTGTTAGATCCCTACTAGCCCTAGTCTTAGCCTAGCATAATATTGCGTCCTGCTTACTACTTTACTAAACTATAATTAATTTTAGAAAATCTGCGTGCCCTAGCTATACAGGAAAACACTACTAATATAATAAGTAGAGGAAATAGTAGGATTAGCGTAGTAATAGGTTTATCTAGGGGTCCACCTCTAATATACTAGAACCTAGGCTAGTACTCTAATAATTAATATTAAAGAGACGCTATAATTACTTTAGAAGTCCTTTAATGCTAGAATAATAGAGTAGTGTTGCCCGTAATTAGATAGGTTATTAAATTTTCTAACGCCTATTAAGCCGCGGCTACTGCAGTAAGCTAACTATTATCCTAGGTGTATTAGAAGGAATAGTAATAGGCTACTAATAAATATATTAATAGTAATAGACTTAATTAAGATAACCTAGAATTCTAGCGCTCCTAGTTTATGCGAGGTCCTATAACTAAGGATAGAATAGAAGGGGATGCTGCAGTAGGACAAGACAGGCACCTACAACGCGACTTCTTTAGTCCTTGCTAATAATATTAAGATATGTACCCTTAGCGGGATACCTTTAGACTACGCGACTAGTAGGAGCAGGAATAGCTTAGATAGATATAAGAAATAGAGGAGATTACCTATTATTTTTTACTACTAGGACACTCTAAATATTCCTACTATTAACACTATAACTTATAATAAGAATACCTAATAGAGGTACTAGTAGGATAATACTAGCTGCTGCCGCGATAATAGAGTATGCTAGGTTTAGTCTAGTATTAGCGTTACTACTGCTATTTATTAGATCCTAGTAGCTCCTTATCTAATAGTAATCGCTTGCAGAATAGTTAATATTATTATTGCTAGGATAAAGAGCGCAGACGTTGTTAAGACAGTGTAGCTAATAATAGTACCCCTAACCTGCTATTCTAAGGCTCCTAATAGTTAAAACCTAATAAAATAGGCAGCTTTAATAGATATACTAGTATTAAGCTATATATATAATAGATTAGCTAGCGTGTTTAATAATATAGATATAAGCAAGTTCTAGAGGTACTACTACTCTATATAAAAGGGAAAGCATAGACCTAGTATAGATCCCTTTTATAGCTAGAGTATAACTAAATAATAGTAAGTATTAACGCTTAGATTTTAGCACTTCGCTACTATTTCTAGCGTGACCTTCTGTCCGCAGATAAAGAAGCGGGAGAGCTTAAGCACTATTTTAGTAAAGGATAGTCTATCTAGGACTATATTACTAAAAAATAGACCTTACTGTATAAAGCTAGTTACAACGCTATTTCTTAAGAAATAATAATAATTTTAAAAATCTAGCAAGACCTAGACCCTACCCTAATAGCTACTATCTTAGTATATAGAGGGATAACTATAGAATTATTTATTAACTAATACTACTAAAAAGAGAGACCTTGCAAGCAGGCTTTTAAGAGTTAGAGATAATAGGCCTAGCTATAGGCTCGCTATAAATTTAAGGACATTGCTTAAGAAATATTGTAGTAGAAATAGGCTTAGGAACAAAACAATTAGCGACACAATTAGTAATAGGATTAGCGACATAACTAGTAATATAACTAATAGGGTAATTAATATTAGGACTAGCAAAGCAAGAGATAGGAGCTAGCTTCCCCTTAAGCAGATAACCTACAGTTGCTGCTAGCCACCTATCCTATTTAAGCGCTCGCCCTAGCAATAATAACTGTAATAATGCCCGCTTTGCAATACCTGTATTAGTTCTATAGCAAGAATTATAAGGATAACACCTATAAATAATACCCTAGATTTTAAAAATAAGTATCTTTCCTAGCAGATATTATATCTAGAGTCTTTAATAATAACTTTAATCTTAGTAATTCTAATCCTAACAAGTCTCTAGTGTGCTAAAGTGATGGCGTAGACGCGCCTTACACTCTAGAAAACTCCTAGAGGAGCCCTAGGCGGACAGCTGCGACTTTAACTTTAATTATACCACTATCTATAAACAAAGGAAAGTAGATTCTCCCTTATCTACTTTTATCTTAACACTAGCTTGCACCCTAGAGATATAACCTAATATTCTTTTTACTCTACCTAGTCCTATAGTTAAAGAGGATAACTAGTCTAATATATTAGTAACTAACGAATTAGACTCCTTATATGCAGACACTCTAGTTACTTTAGTATTATTAATAACTTTTTAAGATAAGAAGCCTATAAAGGCTTATATACATGCCCCTAATAATACTCTTATTAACTTTTACCTAGATAGTGGTGCTAGCGTATTATTAATTGCACGAAAATATCTCTAATATTATCCTAGGGTAAAGATCCACAACCTTCCTTAAGAACAAGTTATAAAGATTAACAGGGTTAGGTTAGTGCCTACCTAATCTACCTAGTTTATTAAAAATTTTCTACTTACCCTTACTACTTTTAATAGTAAGATTATTTAACTATATAGCAAAGTTTATGTTATTAATAAACTTCTAGTCCTATATATTATTAGCAATAATATATTAGTGCTAAACAAGGTTAGCATTATATATAACAAAGTCCTAGGTAATGCCCTAGCCCTTTAGATACGCGGTTACTATGTTAAACTGCATACTACTCCTATGCCATAATAGAAGAAAACCCTAGTGCGGGCGAAATGCAATTATATTATCCTAGCTAGCACTAGCGTTTATATATAGGTTAGGTATCGCCCTACTCCCCCTTATATAATAGGTTACCTCTTTATAGCACAACTAATTATTAACTTATCTTAAGGTATTTATGCCTCTAGTAGTAATTGCATTGTTTATAGCAATAAACCTAAGATACTATTTAATAACTTAGGTAACTATAATATTATAATATAGAAGGGCTAGATCCTAGGTTACCTTAAATAGGTAGTCCTACTTTTGCGCGAAGCGGACATGTTTTACTCTTTAGATTACTTGTTTAAAGGTCTCCCTATTCCACAGGAAATAGATAAACTAGACGAGCCTCTAGCTAGCTACCTGTTTATTATTATAGCTCTAGAAGACAAAATTAAGATTAAAAAGGCTAACATTTTAGATTTGTTTAGTAAAGACTATTAGAGCTATATTTGCTATATCTTATTAAAGTATTAGCCCCTATAGCAAAAAGAGCTAGGTTGTTTTAATAATAATATTAAGATGCCTATTCCCTTTTATAAAGGTATTAATCTTTCTAAGCTTAAATAGGCTCTATACACTTAGTCTAGACAGGATGAAGAGGTAATAGATTAAGTTCTAGATCTGCTTAAGGAGCAAGGCCGCATTATAAAAGTCCCTTTAGGAGCTCCTAGTCTAGTAGCGTCCCTAGTGTTTGTTGTCTAGAAGAATAATAAACTACAGATAGTAGTAGATATGCGAAGAGTTAATAAAGCGCTAATCCTAGATGCCTACCTGTTGCCTAAGTAGGACACTATCTTATTAGCTATAGGAGGGGCTATAGTGTTTTTATCGTTAGACTTTGTTAAAAGCTTCTTCTAATAGGACATTGTACAGGAGGACTAGTAGAAGATAGTATTTGTAACTGCCTACTAGGGCTATAAAATATTCTTAGGGTCTACTATAGGTTTAGCGTGCTTACTAGGATTCTTCTAACACTAGATAGAGCAATTATTTAGCTAATACCTTTAGGAATTTGTATTTATCTACATAGACAATATTATTCTTTTTAGCTGCACCCTAGAGGATTATTTAGTTTACCTTAATAAGGTCCTCTACATCCTAGAGAAGGCGGGGGTTACCCTCTCCTTAGCTAAGTGCTATTTTAGATACCCCTCTATTTAAGCCTTAGGTTACTACGTGTCTAGGCTTAGACTTAGTATAGTTTAAGAAAAAACAGAAGCTATACGT